GAGAATCACTTTAGCGTAAGGTTATTCAAATTCACTAAATGGTTATCGAGGAAAAAATGAAAAATTAGCTGAAAATCTCGTTTTTACTTGATAATATAATGATAATATTTATAATTGTCTGAAGTAAACGCAATTTTAAAGTTTTAATTATTATTTAAACATATTAAAATGTTTTACGCCCATTATTAATAAAGATTGAAACTAAATATTTTTTTGTTTTGAAGTTGAAATCAAGGCATATTCACTGCCAAACGTCAGTTAAAAATTTTCCATATTATTCGTTATTTCTTATTTTATTCAAAGTTTTTTGTCAAATTCCAAATTTTCTCTCAAACCGTATACTTTTTTTAGTATAGGCAGTATTTATTTACCTCATGATATGCTGCAAAACCTTATTAATCACGAATTTCTAATTTTATGTACTCTTGTCTCCAATTGTACTTCCTAAACATCCTTAAGCATAAATTTTTGTATTTAACAACACAATAATTGTCTTCGTTTGTTTAGTTTTGGTTTTGTTCGTTCGGTATGATCCACTTCCTTCGGTCTTAATTACAAGACCAAGACTAATTTTGCTCAACACTACTTTTTTATGTTGATAAGCATTAGTAACCCCATTGTTAAAAAAATGAAGATCAAGAAGGGCGCTCGCGTTTCAGAGTATGAGCCCATATTCCACTTTGTTTTCGACCTTCAATTTTATTAGTTTGTCCAATTTATGGCAATAATTTTATTAAAAAACTGATTAATTTCACTATAGTGATGAAATTTTAGGATGGGCTCGCTAAGGGTCTTCTAAACATCAGGTACTGCCCTAGGTTGTCTGAGACTAGCTTTGCTACCATTGTTAGAATTTGATTACCTGTGCCATTATTGTTGTCATTATCATAATCCGTTAAATCGGGTATTATGTGATTATCGTTGTAATCTGGATCGTCGGCGTCAACATTGTACCTCCTTGGTGGCTTTAAAATTTGGCCCAATGGTAACGTGAAATTGTTGAAAGATAGGACCATAAAAAGGGCGAATGGTCTCATCTCTGTGTGCGCCAAACATAACCACGACGTAGTAGGTTGTCATTCAATAACATCTCTTTATTTTTGAATGCGGCTGCAGTATTAGAAGGTCTGAAGGCAGTTTTGGAGCGGTTTCTGAAACAAAAAATTGAAGGTTGATTTGTGAATTTTAAAAAACAATTTCTTAAACTCGATAAGTAGTTAAATTTATCCTGAAAATTAATCATCCCCACGGTTCAAATTGTACCGATTTCAATAAGAATAACGTACCGATACACGTTAGTATCTCATTTAGATATCCTAAACATTTTTTTTAAATCTTGTAAAAGGTTTAAAAATAGTTGAACATTTGTACTATTATCATCATCATAAGGTCGTCATTAACTATTTGCGAACAGTAATTTAATCTAGCCCTACCTCTACCCCTCCTAACTCCCGTTTCTGCCTCTAACATGTCTCTGACTAGACCTTCACACCTGAGAAGGTGTCCTATTTCTTATTGACTTCCATCGAGTCTTCTGTTCTAACCTTCTCTATCTTCGGTATCCACATCATTCTCCGGTAACACCATATTTCCAACGCTTTATAAATTCTATATAAAACCATTCATAAATAAATAGATAGATAAATAGAAAATCAATTGTTTCCATTTTGAATAATTCCATTAAGATTCTTATCGTTAGATATAAATGGAAAAGTTTTATTTCTCAATGAATTCCAATGAAATAATTAATTAAAAAATGAAATATTTTTTGGTTTTTGAATTATTTATTTATAAAATCTGTTTCATTACATGGATTTTAGTTTCATCAGTCTCGTTCGAAACGATTAACAATAGGTGTGATTAATGTTTGTATGTTA